TGCCAATCATTGCATATTACAGAGAACTGCACGTTCGCCAAGCACACAAAATGCAGATATAAAAAATGTTCTGACGATTCTTCTTCAGATTTACAGAACCTGGTAGTGACAGAAAGGTACAGTAAAATATGTTTGAGACTTTATCCGTCAATCCTATTAGATTTAGATGCCTATTCAGCTTACAATGCCATGTTAGTAGACCTACTACGCTTTTACTGTCTTCCTGTCTTTGCTAGTTAGTATAGTTAATCTTTCGTAGCCATCCTTGTTTTTGCAAAGCCACAAAAGGGTTCTGGGTCTATAAATGGCATTGATGAGCTTTGTTTGGCCTTTTCGCGACCCTCGTGCGTAGTCTAAATAATGTTGAAGTATTTCATAAGTATATCATACTTTGTGTATAGTTTAGCGTTGATTCCGCATTTTGATGGTAATGGTATCCTATGGTAGCGGATAAGTAGTCCTCTACGCTCCCGATGGAGGACAAGTCTACTTCAAGGGTGCGAAGCTACCCACACGAGCTTGCATGGGACCATCTCCTAATTCCAGAGGAATCACTCCCCAACATTCATTCCCTCAACCTTACCATTCGTTTAATACCCTGTTGATCATCAACTTCCCACTTGTTTAACCAACGTAGAGGGTTTTGACTAAAAACCTTGCAATTTGGAATGATGCAAGGTTATGCAATATGGCCCAGCAGTGTACAAGTACAGTAAAATATAAGTCGTAATTTAAATTTGAGCTGAACTAGTTGGATGAAATAAGGAATAACTTTCCCAATAATCCACCCCAAGGATGTTACAATTTTCCAGACAGGAAGGGTGGCAATCTACAGAAATACTGAGGCAGAAGAATACACAGAGAAATTAATTCTAGACTAATACGGGATCCTCCAAGGGTTACAAGAGTAAAACGAAAAAGTTGATAAAATGACCCAACAAGTATTGCAAAACCAATAAAAGAATGCTTCAAAACAGTGACTGGTTGAAAATATATAGAATAGCTCATAGTAGACCATTCGCAAAAATTTACGCCAGACCTGATAACAAACAGGAAAACTATAAAAAAAGTGTTATGAGTCTATTACAGGCATGGAAAGTTCAATAGAAATTTCAAGCTGAACCAATCGAAGACTTGTGCGGATGTGTTAGTGGAAAGGATACGATTGTAGAAAATGTAACCTACTGTTTAGAAGACCACAATAGATCTGAAAATGTCAAGCAAAACGAGAAGAGAAGATTGGAATAAACTAAAACCATCCCATAATATCTAGTTTAATCAAATTAATTCAAATTTGGGCCCTGATGCTTTCAGCTAAACAAATAAATATAATGAAGTACATTATAGTTTTATCATCCATGTAGTGTCAGCGCTTGGCATCTTCTACAAATCCTATTCTTTGCAAGTAATAAGTAGTGACCACTTGCAGTCTGCAGCCTGCAGTGGCTTGTGTATACCGCATACGTTGAAGTACCAGTATTAATCACATTTTTATTTCGAGGAGACAAAAAATATTTGGACAAAGTTAAAATTGATTTTGTTTATCTTCCAAAAGCAGGTAAAAAATTGGTAGGTAATTTTTAAAGATCTAGGGACATGTTAGAAAATGGGGACAATATTTTTACTCTGAAGTACTTTTCGTTAAGTGTAGGTAATCTAACTTCATCAACTTCAAGATTCGATTTCAAAGCCATTTCTTTGCTCTCATGATAGTTGTCACATAACATATGAACTTATTGGTCTGTTATTTTATTATTGATGTTCAACCTAAATTGATTTCAGGTAATTTTTTTAGATACCTCAATAATCCTGCATTTTTCAAATTGTTACAGTCTTGCTCTAACTTGTCACCGTAGATTTAGTTCATGATTCATTTTCGTCAACGGATCATAAAAACGTGAGGAACAATAACTTTTACAAATATTAGTTTTCTAGTTCTATAATGATATATTTCATTGAAAATTGTATTGTTCAAGTCAATTCTTCAAATTTCAATTCTTCTCATTAGGGTGTCATGCTCTATAACAGAGCATGAGAGCATGTATGAGTGTTAACCAGTTTTTGTTCTAGTTATCGTTGAATCCCATCGGCACTATCTGAGAAGTCATACTAGACAAATTTTACGAAGAATAGGTTTGTCGTGGGCGGCATTCGGTAAACTAAACCATATATTGAAATCTGATTTTCAATTTTCAATTCAAATATGTTTAAAAGGAAAGGCCTTTAATTAGTGTGTCTTGCCTGTCCTCATGTATGGAGCTGAAACACTTACTTTGACAAAAAAGAACATACATAGAATACAGGTCAAGCAACGGATAATGGAAAGGTCCATGTTGGGAGTTACACTTAGAGATAAAATACCCAATCATACCACACGAAATCGAACAGGAGTAAGAGATGCGGTCATATACCTGTCGGCCGTGGACAAAGAGACTTGTGGAATGGAGACCAAGACACGATGAGGCCTATAGAAGCAGAGGACGATCTCCTAGTCGATGGACAGATAATATTAAGAGAGTGGCTGGAAAGTGGATTCAAGTGGCACAAAATAGAAAGAAATAGCTAGAGGTATGGAAGGCTTTTGTTCAGCAGTGGACGGAATAAGCTAAATGATTATGACTAGACAAATATAAACAAGGTGGCAATGCAATCAGCCCTTGCTTTCCTTGAGATGACTTGCTGATGGCTCTGTGTAACTACATAAATAAATACTTTTATTTAAATAAATAAAGCAACTGTACCGGCTAGACATCGAACCTGTTCTTTTCGGGTCACAAGCAAATACACTTGCCATTGAGCCATGGCCCTAATTACCCACAAATCGTAAATGTATTTAATCCTATTACCACCTTAAAACACGATTCAATAAAAAATGGACATTAACACACGTACTAAAATGCATTATGACGAATCCGACCCTCGGCTCTCTCCCTCGACGATATTATTTTTTACGTTTTGCACCCCTCCGGCGAGCAACAAACGCATACCGTCGTTCCAGAAAGGGTCGCAGCCCGTTACCGGCAACGTAATCTCATAGAAAGATCCCCGAACGAAGCCCTCTCGAACGGAAAACATTCCGGCTCCGAGGCCCCGAATTTAATCAAATCGACGACGAGGACGGAGAATGGCCCGTCCTCATACGCGAGACAAAGAGCGTAACAGCGGCACGAGCCGGCAACGCCGCTCGCCGCCGAAAGAAAGAGGATCGAGCGGTAATTTGCGAGAGAGACGGCGAGCGTGTCATTACGTCTGCCTGGAGAGTAGAAAAAAGGAAAAGCGGAGAACGACTGCGATACTCGTGACTAGCGAGCACTGGAACGAAGATAGAGCGAGTGAGAGCGGACTACGTGACGTATTTATTGCGATGCTCGCTTGTTATTTCGTGCAGCGGCGCTGGCAATTGTTTATTTCGTATGCACGCGATGAGAGGGCTCAAAAGAGAGGGAAAGATATAGCAGCTCGCCGACCTGAGGACGTGTATCGGCTTGTGTAGCTGGATGATATATGGCTGGGGGGACAGCGATGAGGTGACGGGTGGTCCGCCGCGTTCGAAACGTCCATTTCGACCTGTGGTCTCTATCTTGGACCCGATTCCGAGCCTAGATTAGGTCGAGATTTATTTTGAAATCGCCGCGGTCGAAGATAGAGACATTATTTGCCTAATGTCTTCCTTTTCGGATACTCTATTATTGATTGCACTGCTATAACAACTACATGTAATTTTCAATCCAATATAGATTTTAAATTACGGCCATTTGATTTTTTTATCTGTTCTCTACTGGTATCCAGAAATTGACAAAACAAGAAGCAATCTAGTAATTTGTTAGAATTCTATTATTGATCAGATTAATAGATATGTCTATAGTATAATATTTAGGATAGTGATTTGGAAGACGACATTCAAAAAATGACAGAAAGAGAAGTATCTTCGAACTACAAAATCAACATTCACCTAAAATGACAGTGTGATATATATTCTTGAAAATCCTCTTTTAAGTTCGTTACTTCTTACTATTTGACCAACAAAAATGTTGACTTTTTGAAAAATACCAATATGGAGAACAGGGTAGTCTTAGACAGTAACAATATTTGTACCTATATCAATATTAGTCTCAGTGCATTAAAATATAAATCTGAAACTTTTCACTGAAGACATTAGTACCTACTGAATCTGACGAACCAGAGAAGAGATGATTTTAACAAATAACATCTAAAGAATGACAGAAATATATAAATAATATAACTATCAAATAATTAAATTGATCCACTGAATCATCAAAATCAGAATAACACCACCAGATGATATTGAACTCCAAAACAATAAAATCCTACAATGGAAGGCTTCCTTATCCTTTACTTCAATCATCTTTAATTGTTGTATATATTTTAGTAAAATCAAAACATTTCATTTCATACTCTATACCTAATTATCTAACTCATCTGCAGAAACAAATCTGATTTGTGATTATTATCTGAAATTGTCGACAAGGCCGCATTTTTCCATATTTGTTACAGAGTTCCAAGAATACAGGCGCCTCTTAACTTTTTTGGGTACCTTCCTAAATCTAAAACAGATTTCTTTTCTAAAACGTCAATAGGAAATAATGGTTATTCATTCAAGGTGACCATTTTCTAAATCTCCGTTAAGAAAGCCATTATACCCATTTTCGCTAAGGTCTGATTTCTTATTTCGAACAATGTCGGTCCCGAACTCTGGTTCACAGCTGGGTAGAAGAAAGTTTTGTTTGTCTGGCAGTGGGACACGACTAGTATTTCGTCAGTTATTGTTAAAGGCATGCTTAGCTTTAAATTACCAAAGCTACGTTATACAAGATTTACTAAATCTACAATATAAAAAACATTAAGAATACTAATTAGTAATTAAAACTAGGTAAAAACGTCAGCGAAAGTCTAATTACAGTTAGCGGTGGCAACGAAACGAACGAAAGCCACGCTTTAACAAGGTAAAAACAGTGCATTGACACAAAAAATAACATTACCTCCAAGTTGCGCATTCAACTGTCTCCGCTTCACTCGGTACGGTCGCGGCGGCCCCGGCATGTAAAATTAAAAAATCTCATCGGCAACGCTTGCGTAGCACCGGCAACGTCGCATCGCCTACATACACAGATATAATGTTAAAATATTCCAGGATTCACCTCGTGATTTCACCGCTTAAAAATACTCGGATTTTCGCGAAACTTTCACAGTGGACTTCGAGAACGTTTTCCGACCCGGTACCACAAAAAAACCGCCGGAAAAGTGAAAATTTAAGGTAAAAATCGCGAAATCGACGACAGCGTGTTGGCATTTAAAGCATTTGGGCTATACTAGCTGATCTAAAGAAGCGAGCTTCGGCTTCGACCCGCCTGACTCTAACCCCGCCCCTGACCAATGGAGTTGCCGGATCTGGTATCGACGTCACACGGCGAAGCCCGAACACGGCCGAACGACGGCTTCGGCCTAGCAGGGAACTCGCATACCATTTTGTTGTGTATGCTGGATGTGTGTTCGATTTCGTTTTCGGATTTTATTTTCGAAGCAAGCGGCTGTAGTTTGTTTGTTGCTGAGGGAACGCCGGCTTAGGGGGCCGAGGGGTAGGGATGGGAAGGGACCGTGGCAGCAGCCGGGCGGAGGCGTTGATGAATGAAGGCTGCAGTCGGATTCTCTCATTTTTATGACGGCTGTAAAACTTGCCTTATTAAAAGGTGATCGTTTCTGGTTGGGGCTATATTTGGTTTTATTGCTGTGCTATATAGGTACGCTCCATTTTGATATTGTTGCTGGGTCCATCTGTGCAGGTAGTATAAAATGGACGATAGTGATTACTGACTATAATTGACAGTTAATATCAGTGCGTATACTAGGGGAGACCGGTATCAATTGTAACAGGGGATAATTGTAACACTCGTATTTGCAGATCCACCTGTTATCGAAAGAAACAACTAATTGCACCGTCGTGTTCGTTTAGACACCCGACTGAATAGGCAACAGTGCAACAGTCATTTAATTTTCACTGTTCGTGTATGGTCGTGAATTTGTGCTTTCAATACTAATTTGTAAGTATTTTACCTATTATCAAAATGTAAATTGTTCGTTTATGATTACGTACAGGTCCTAATTGTTTAATATGCTAAAATTAGTGTTTCAGAGTTAAAAAATAATACCATACCGACAATTGGTTATAAACCTCATAATAAAGTCTTCACGCAAGAGAACAAGAGGAGCAGTAATGCGAGGATTCTGCAAAGCTTTATTTTGGATTATCACCAAAGGAGTTACGCAAATTGGCATATCAGTTTGCCAAACAGATTGACTGCAAATTTCCCACTGGGTAGGAACTAAAGCAAATGGCCACCGAAGACTGGCTTACGGCGTTTTTAAAACGAAATAATAAACTGTCAATACGTACGCCAGAATCAACTAGTCTTGCTCGCGCAATGAATTTTAACCGGGAAAATGTAAAGAAGTTTTTCGACAATTTAGCAATGGTAATGGATAGGCATCAGTTTACTCCAAACAATATCTACAATGTGGATGAAACTGGCTGCACTACAGTGCAAAAACCTGGTAAAGTAATTTCAAAAAAAGGTATAAAAGAAGTTGGCGGTATTGTATCTCAGGAAAGAGGTTCCTTGGTAACAATGTGCATAGCCATAAATGCACTTGGGCAGAGCATTCCACCAATGTTCATATTTCCGTTAAAGCGATACCATGAACATTTTGTAAGGGATGGTTCTCAGGGTAGTATTGGTGGAGGGAACAAAAGTGGTTGGATGCAGGAGGAAAATTTTCTTCAGTTCATCAAACATTTTGCAAAATATGCAAAACCCAGTGAAGAAAATAGAGTCTTACTAATTCTAGACAATCATACTTCTCACCTATTTATTCCAGTAATAGATTTTTGTAAATCAAATTTCATCACTCTCTTATCATTCCCTCCCCATACTTCCCACAAGCTTCAGCCGCTTGACCGAGGAGTTTTTGGACCATTTAAGAGATTTTTTAATAATGAATGCGATCAGTGGGTAAGATCAAATCCAGGAAAACGAATGACGATCTATAACATACCCGCTCTAGCAAAAGACGCCTATCTACTAGCAATGACTCCAAAGAATATCACAGCTGGATTTCAATGTACTGGAATCTGGCCCTTCAACAGATATGTTTTCTCTGACGCTGAATTTGATCCTAGTAGTGTTACAGACAGACCCCTGGAGGACCGCATAGCGGCAGACATTGTCCAAGAAGAGAGAAGTGGCAATAATACCAACCCTAGCGCCTGCGAAGCTGGTTTGCGATCAAAACTGGATACAATTCTTGACGGTGAGCAATATAAATTATTAACACTAGCTGACTTAGTTAATAATCTAAAATAATTCATAAAGTTTTAAGCATATTTAATTTGTTTCAGACGCAATTGAAGCCAAGCCCAGCACTTAAAAAGCTAATTTATCATTAGAGCTGTTAAAATAAGCTTTTACGCTTATTAATTATCAATTTTGATTCCCTTTAGTCTCAAACACGACGATTGAAGCCAAGCCTAGCACCTCAAAAGCTAACTTATCATCAGGAGTGGTCACGATTCTTGAGGGTAAGCAATGCAAACTGTCTAACTTTTACGTAAATTTATCAATTTTAACATCCTTTAATTGGTTTTAGATATAATAATCAAAGGACCGTCTTCCACATCAACAAGCAGTGTCAATAATAAACAGCATACAATAGGTTGTTCAACGCCACCACTGCCCATTTTAAAACAATCGGTGTCCCAGCCGCCTTCAAACCAGACCAGAGTGCATTCGCCCATTACCAAAGTTTTGTGTTTTCACACAGAACATATGCGTCTAGAGCGTTACATTCGAAAGCCGATAAAAAAGGGATTTTGAAATTTTGGAGTTGACCCTTTTCCCAAATGACCGATTCAATTATGGTCGACAAAAAACTGCAGAAAAATGGGCATTACATACAGATACGACGGCGGTGTGTTCAACATTGATACGGTACCGTTGATTCCATATTCACAGTCCGCCAACTACAGGAAAAAGTAAAGGAGCAGGAGATTAAACTTTTGTAAAGAGTTGAAATTCATGAACCTAATAAAAGTGTTCGACTCTGTAAACAGAGATGCAGTTTGCGCAATTTTGCAAATGTTCGCAGTAGGTACCCAACAAATTTCTTACAGTGCGTAAAAGCGTCCATATAACAACCATCAGCCGAGAGTGTCACATCATGGATCACTGAGCGATCCCTTCCTGACAAATACAGGAGTTAGGCAGGAATGTGTCTTCTAGTGAGTTCCTCTCCTATCCAACATATTCACGGCAGCGCTCTCTATTATAGTAGACAGCAAACTGCATCAGGAGGAATGGGTGTTAGATACATATGACAGCGGTCTGTTCAACATAAAAAGACTCATGGCAATAACATGTACAAAATTTATCACAGAACTTCAATACGCTGATGACTGCGCTCTAGTTACAAAAACGATACAGCAATAATTACAAGAAATTCTAAAGACATATACTTGGGCATACGAGGCTTTGGGTCTAGCTGAACATCGACAAAATTAAAATAATGTGCACTCCTCCGGAAAATCATTGCAATGTTATAAACGTTACAGCAATTACAGGAAATGCTGAACGCATATATCTGGGCATACGAGGTTTTGGACCTTAAGCTGAACATAGATAAAAAAACACCATGTGCACTCCCTAGGAATATAATAACAGCGTTATAAAAATCGGAGAAGAGCTATTGGAATATGTCGCGGAATTCAATTACCTCGACAGTTTGATTTCGGAAAATGCAAATATCGACGCTGAAATTTAGCACAGAATTAGCAGCGCCTCAAGAACATTGTGGAAATTAAAACACAGGATTTTCTACAATCCTGACTTGAATACAAAAACGAAACTTGCAGTGTACCGAGCAATAATAATCTCCATCATGTTATATGGAAGCGAAACCTGGGCTCCGTAGGCCGTAGGTATACCGCTGGCACTCGAACGCATTAAACAAGTTGCAACAGAGACATCGTAGACAAGTGTTAAGAATAAAATGGTATCATAGGTCCGTGAAAAAAGCCAGCTGCGAGATCGCCGAATTCATAATTACTAAATCCTGCTTAAAATGGGCTGGTCATATATGCAGGAAGATCGCCTGTCAAAATATCTTCTTTACGGTGAGCTTCTGAGCTTGGAGACAAAAAGAGGAGAGTTCAAAAGGCCTTGGAGAGTTCAAAAGGAACAAGGATATTTTGCATGAAAACTTAAAGGGGATAAGCATGCAGAATCAGTGGGCACAATAGAACGAAATGGAGAAGGATTGTAAACTCAGTTAATAACGGCAACTAAAAAGTAAAGTGCCAACAAAGTCAAAGTAATAAGATTTTTGAATGTCCGGAGTGCGGAAGAGAGATAACATCACGTATCGGGCTTTTCAGTCACAGAAAAGCATTTTCTGATGCGTGTCGCTTGTCAGATGCGTCTGATGCGTCTCGCTTGTCAGCGAGTATAATGGCAATGATGATGATAATGTCTTTTTTCAATTACTGTAGATATCTAAGTCCGCGGTGGTACCCAGCGCGTTTTTGCAGCTGCAGTAAAAAGGCAGAGATCGCGACAATACACGACGTTATAGGAGACATGTTATAGACTATGCATTTTTACTGCAGTACTACTATACCACGACAGAGATTCGTCTAACGTCGCTTATGTTAGACAGATATTTAATCTTCTTCTTTCATTCTTGACAGAGGAAAGAGTAGTAACCACTTAGACGACTTATAGCAGTGATGCAGTTTTTCTTACTACTTCTCTCCACTTATTCCTGCGTTTACTGCATGGCGGGCAGCTTCTCTGAAACTTGTTTTTGGTGTATTATTTTATTTGTTTGGACCATTTTTTTGGCTTCTAGGTCTCCTTCCTTATTCAGTATCCGACTGTGATTCGACAATGCTTTAAACTAACTTCATAAATCGTCTAAATTCTGTCTATGATCGAACGAATAATGCGCAATTCTCACTATACGTAACGTTACCATCACGTCGCCGTGCCGCCAACGTCACGGTAGGTAAATATTCTTAAATTGCCAACAATGAACATATTCACACAATCCGTAACGTCCATCTCCCATTTTCTTCATGTTTTCTGTGGAGACGATGTGGTGACGTGACGGTGACGTTACGTTATAGTTTACGCCTTATACGCGTCGGGGCGTCGCTTGGCACTCATTATTATATGCGCAGGCAGCTAACTGCTTTGCGTTGCGAGTAACAAACGACGCGACGGCAGAAACCCGTATGTTTAAATAGGAGCAAAATTTAAATTTAACTGAAGAAAATTTTAAAAAGGGGACATGAATATCATAATCTGATATGTTATGCACAATCAAGTTAGCTAATATCGAATACAAAATATCATCTTGATCTTGATAATTTTTTTGAAACTAATGATAAAATGGGATATAAAATTGTGTAAAAAACGTTATTAAAGTTTGAGCTTAAAGTTTCTGAAGGTCAGAAGTCAAAAACAAAACGCATGAAATAACATCTGTTTTACGAAACTGATGATAAAATTTTATTATTTCCAATTTCATTACTCCAAAATACTCCATTCAGACAGCCAATTCTTCTTCTAGCTTTTGATATTCGTGTTTTTATTTCTTTGTAATTTCTTCATGTAAATCTCTTCATTTTCTAGATTACTATTAGTCCTGCCGATTCGAATTTTAATTTCCTCCTCGTAGTCTCATTTGTTATTAACAACAGAGCCGAGATACTTTAACCTATTCACCTGACCACAGATCTCGCCGCTTACAGTGAGGTTAACATTTTGGATTTGTCTACTAATCATCATTGACCATGGTTTTTGTTTTTGAAGTATTAATGAGTATCCCGTACTCACACTATTTATCTTATTTAGCATCAGTTCTTGAAGAGCTTCCATAGTGGAGGCCAATAAAATAGTATCGTCCGCATATCTGATATTATTAATTGACTTTACACTGGCTTTTTCCTGGACTCGTTTTCGAAAGCCAAGTTGGAATATTTTTTCGGCATAGATGTTAAAAAGTATCGGTGACAGAATGCATCCTTTTCGCACTCCTTTGCTTACTTCAGAGGCGTCGGTCGAGTCTGTGTCATTTACAGGGGTGGATGGGCCATATGGGAAAATTGGAAAATTCCCGGTGGGCCGGTGGAAAGATGGGCCGGTGGGCCGGTCCCAATCAGAGCTCAAAAAAGATTGGATTAGCAAAAATTAAATGGTTAATCTTCTAACTAAAGTGACGTAAGATCCTTAGTGACTCCATAACTAACTAATCAATTTGCGTCAGTATAATCGTCAGTTGCTTTTAAACATAAACACCAATTTGTAAAATAACCATTGTAAAATGTCTTTCTCTGGGACACTCATAATTTTAATAATCATCTGTTGTTTGTACGGTTTGAAAATTTTTATTATACAAGGTGAGTCTATAAGTGCAAATATTTTCAGGGCTGGTAGATCTCAATAAAATAAACATAATATATTCTCTTTATCGAGTTTCAAATAAGTCCAATTATCAATAGGTTATTAAAATTTGGAAATTTAAAAAAAAGATTTATTTTTAAAAAAATTTGAGCCACCTCAATTTTTCGGTATTTGCATCTCTTTTAGTGCCGTAATATCAGATATTAAGACACTGTACCGTGGGAAAATTTGCGGTGAACAGGAAGTTCTAAAAAGTTTTCTAAAATATACAGGAAAATTTAAAAGAAAATGCTCCATTTTTATCTTTTTTTGCAAAAAAAACTCATAGACGTGTTCCTGGGGTCGAAATATACCACCCCTGAAAATATTTGCACTTATTTAAGACTCACCCTGTATAGTTTTACCCATTCTATACTATTACCCCCTATTCTTTTATTAATAACTAGTAAATATGACTGACTGGCAGCAAAAAAAAATGAATAGCATTAGGTAAATTTAAATAGTATCGATCCAAACTGTATACTAAGAATACGGTAGCGTAGATTGACAACTGGGGGCCTCGGTGCAATATTTTTCGAGGTCCCCTTTGTAAAAAGGTAGACGAATTTGGCGCAAACTCTGCGGTTGACGGAGAAAACATATCTATGTTTGGCTTGAATTGGGGACGGACTAAAAGCCAAGTCTGAGAACTACAAGCCAAGTCTAAATTGTTGTTTAAAATGTTGCTAAAATGAATTTGCTAAAAGTTACTGAGACAGCAGAGAAGAGTTAAATAAGGTTTAAACTAGATTAGATAATAAAATATTAATATGTTTCGAAAATCCAAATATTCTTATTATGGACTGTGGACTGTAACATAGCATTACATCAGCATCAGAACACATTTATATCCACTGCCTAGGTTTTTTCGTTTGAGTCATGGCATTATCATACAAAATGCCAAATGTAGAAAGTATAGAGGAAAAGTTCTGTGATAGAACTATATAATAACCTAAAAAATGCTGCAGTTTTAATGGCGACCGCGGTTCATTCAGTTAAAAACACGTGTAAACGAGGAGGCTGCTGCTGTAGCAGAAAAGAGAGAATTTCTTTCTACAATGTGTCAGAAAGTATATACCTGAAAAGCTAAAAGTAATGTATTTTACAGAGGATTGGGTCAGCTGAACTGAATGAAACAGGAAGTCTTAAAATTTTTCAAAATCGTAGGCTATTCAAGATCAAATTACCGTTATCGATAATGGAAATAAAGCCGTAGAACCCTGTAAAACCGAGCCATTTTGTAGTAAAAATTCAGCTATCCGACCCAATATTGGTCTTTACGAAAATTTTGATCAAGATAATTTATTTTTTTTTAACCGGAGGGAAAAAAGCTTTATCGCAGGAGCTAAAAACACCCTTACTTAATTAATAAATAA